CTGGATGGCATCCCTCCCCTCCAGTGTGTCTACCTCACCAAACAGTTTGGTATCATCGGCAAACTCGCTGAGGGTGCACTCGATCCCACTGTCCATGTCACCAACAAAGACGTTGAACAACACCGGTCCCAGTGCTGACCCCTGAGGAATGTCACTCATCACTGGTCTCCACTTGGACATGGAGCCGTTGATCACAACTCTTTGCGTACGACCATCCAGCCGGTTCTTTATCCACCGAGTGGTCCATCTGTCAAATCCACGTCTCTCCCATTTAGAGACCAGGATATTGTGTGGGACAGTGTCAAACACTTTGCACAAGTCCGGGTAGGTGACATCGGTTGCTCCACCCTTGTCCACTGCTGCTGTAACACCCTCGTAGAAGGCCACCACATTTGTCAGGCATGACTTGCCCTTGGTGAAGCCATGCTGGCTGCTGCCAGTCACCTCCTCATTTTCCATGTGCTGTAGCGGAGTTTCCAGGAGGATCTGCTCCATGATCTTGTTGGGCACAGAGGTGAGACTGACCGGCCTGTAGTTTCCCATGTCTTCCTTTTTTCCATTTTTGAAAATAGGGATTATGTTTCCTCTTTTCCAGTCGACAGGAATCTCACCGGATTGCCATGACTTCTCAAATATGATGGATAGTGGCTTAGCAACTACGTCTGCCAGTTCCCCCCAGGACCCGCGGGTGTATCTCATCAGGGAGAGATTTTGGTCTTATTTGTTGTTTCTGCTGTTACTCTCATCTTTCTGAGGCTTGGATGTTTGCCGACGCATCTTAGTCACATTTAAAAACTAGCATTTTTTATTGAGCCATCCTACTAATTAAATCCTCAGTAGTGAAACTCACTTTGTCCATAGCCGTAAATTGATTGTTGAGGCCGCAATCACAGCCCGTGCCCAGCTGTGCTGCCGACCGCCTTTGGGAACGGGCAGCAGCTTGCAGGACCTGAACATCTGTGTAACCGTGACCTACGTTACCTCTCCGCTTTTCTCAACAGGACGGGTTGGACCATGGCCCAGAACAAGCTATTTAACAAGATTCACAAAGCGCTGCAGTCTGACAGGCTGGCTCGCTTGGCTAACGAAGGCGTAAGTTCTTTTACTCCCCGTTTCCCTTTCCAGCCTGTGTGTTTTTAGCAATCCGTCCTAGCAAAGCCTGATTGAGTCAAGACGAAACTCTTGCCCTTCGGGTTGTGTAGTGTTAAGAAATGGCCAGCTCTGGGCTTCTCTGAGGCTTGGTTTTGTCCTCACTGAGAGAATCTTGGTCTTCGCTTGCTGCCAGAGGACTTTGGGCTGCCCGAGCCAATACTTCTCTGTGGCTTGGGGTGCACGCGGCGTGCTTGGTTTTTCCTGTAATTGTATTTCTTTTTAATTTCTTGGTTTTTAGGCTTGTAACGAGCCAGTCCTGAGGAGGATAGCGGTGGACAAATGTGCTCGGAGGGTTCGCCAAGCTCTGGCTAGTGTGAACTGGGACACCAAACTGATCCAGTGGCTTCACACAACGTTAGTGGAAACCCTCAGTTTGCCGGTGCTGGCTGCTTACTTGGATGCTCTGCAAACGCTGAAAGGAAAGGTGATAAAAGCAGTGAAAGATTTTGCTGTCACTTATAACATTCTCCCTTTATAAAGCTCATTAAAGGAAGCTGATGGAGTCTTTTTCCTTGGAGTGGCAAGGATGATGTTTAAAAGCCCTTTGAAAAGGCTGTTTGTGTTTTCTCAGTCCTTTCTGGCCTCTGGTTTCAGATCCCCACCCTGATCGACAGGATGCTGCTCTCCTCTACTGCGAAGACGGGGGCAGCGGGTGCCGAGGCTCTGTCTCTGCTGCTGAAGAGACCTTGGGACCCAGCCGTGGGTGTCTTGTCGCATAATAAACCAGTGAGTACCTCTTGGGGCTTGCAGGGAGCGAAAGGCAGGTCTCAAATCCGCTTTCTTCTTCCCATCCTTCTTCTGTCCTCTTTCTTCCGCCTCTGTCTTGCTTCCCGGGCTCTTTTCCTCCCGCTTTAGACTTATTCAAGACTTGCTCTGTCCTTCTGTTGGACACATTCCTCCCATACTATCCTGATGTAGCTTTGGCTGGGGAAGATGTGATCAATTAACGAGAACCTTCCTGCCTCGCTGTGCAGGCCGGGCTGGGCAGCAAGGTTTCGGGCAGGGAGGTTACTTTCCCTTACACATTTCTTGTTGAACTTTGTAGAGCAAATTGCCTGGTTCCCCCCTCATCCTGATTGCTTCCTCTGGACCCTCCAACTCCATGTTCCCCACTTCTCGACGGCACCGATTCTGGCAGTCGCAGCTTTCCTGCTTGGGAAAGGTTTGTATGGTTGGGGTTTTGAAAGGAGGGAAGTTCAAACTAGCAGCTGTGTTAGACTGCAGCTGCTGGGCTTATTTTTATAAGCCTTCAGCGCACCAAAATACTTGGTTCTGCTCAAAGCAGAGGCTGGCGTCTGCCTCCTCCAGTGTTTAGTATTTGAGACGCTGCACAGGGGATGAAGTTGCCCAAACCTGATGCGTTAGGGGTCTCTTGCCGACAAAAGCCATTTATCTTCAGCAGTTTAGATTGTATCATTACTGTTATTAAGGATTGATGAGCCTTCCAGTAGGCAGAGGTTGGAGGAGAGAGACTATAGGTCACCTTAGTCCTCTTCCTGGATACAGAGCTGCTCCCACACCTCCTAACATGGTAGATGTTGGGGGCCGATTCTCTTTAATATCTTTATCAACAACCTGGATGAGGGTATGGAGTGCCCCCTCAGTAAATTTCCAGTGTTGGTCTGCCTGGGGGTAGGATGGCTCTACAGAGGGGTCTGGAGAGGCCAGATCGATGGGCTGAGGCCAGTGGTGTGAGGTTCAACCAGGCCAAGTCCTGCACTTGGGCCACAACAACCCCATGGACGCTACAGGCTTGGGGATGAGCGGCTGGAAAGCTGCCTGACGAAGAGGGACCTGGGGTTGGTCATCAACAGCTGGCTGAATGTGAGCCAGCAGCATGCCCAGGTGGCCAAGAAGGCCAATGGCATCCTGGCCTGTATCAGGAACAGTGTGGCCAGCAGGACTGGGGCAGTGGTGGTCCCCCTGTACTCGGCACTGGTGAGGCACCCCCCAGAGAT